TGACTGTTTGTAATTTTATTGAGGTTTCACAGCAATGTTAATGTAATGACCATATGGGCTAGTCCCAAGTAAAATAACGTTTAAGACAGTTTTACTTCATTCTCAATTTGGAGTGCTGTCTCTTATTGGGGGAATCTGCTATAAGGGATTGCTATTGTTGTCATACTCCCTTGCTAACTCACTACTAAACTCTTGTAAGAGCTTGTTCCTGCCTTGCTCTTTGGAGGAGTCTACAGCAATTATGGTGTCTGCTGCAGTGCTTGGAGTCCTCAGGAAGCATTAGGAGCATTCTTAAATGGAGGTCCCTTACACCTAAAATATCTCAGAACAGCCCCACCCCTGGCTACATCCCACTGACACCCTTAAAATGAAAGTGTCCTCTTTGTCCATTTGAATTGTTGGAAGGGCTGTGCACTCATTCTCTGACAGTGTCTACATAATTATTAGTCTGATCACTATTGTCAGGGTTAAGCTTCCCAAATATTCTGTGTCTCAAATTAAAAGATTCCAGCACAGACCTGGCCGATGGGATCGGTGCTTTTAGCTTTTATCATAATTCTTTGGTGTAAAATTCCACTTGTGACATTTAGGATAACATGGCTGCATCCATTCTGTACTCAGCGAGATAGCAATCTAGACAATTAATCAGCTCTGTATATGTGTGAAATGTCATCCATCGCACAAAGAAGTATAGAGCAGCCTGTGTGTTTAATTCCTTTATATATTAATTGCTGTAACATCCTCATAAGCTTGATTTTATCAAAGATCAGATTCTGTATTGCATATAAATACGTGCTGGATCATCCCCATAGTGCATACCTCCCAAATGTCCCAGAATGTTGACAGGAAAGTCATAATATTTTTGTCCTCTGTCCCAATTCTGTTCCACGTTTGAACTCAATTACCCCAATTCTGAAAAATTATAAGATATTTCTGTGGCAGTGGAGAGCAAAGCAGTCAGTACTCAGACTCACACTAAGCTAACTCAGTAACAATACAGAGTCTGATCTCCCCCACACTGTACAATACAGAGTCTGATCTCCCCCATACTGTACAATACAGGGTCTGATCTCCCCCATACTGTACAATACAGGGTCTGATCTCCCCCATACTGTACAATACACAATCTGATCTCCCCATACTGTACAACACAGAGTCTGATCTCCCCCATACTGTACAATACACAATCTGATCTCCCCATACTGTACAATACAGAGTCTGATCCCCCCACACTGTACAATACAGGGTCTGATCTCCCCCATACTGTACAATACAGAGTCTGATCCCCCCACACTGTGCATTACAGGGTCTGATCTCCCCCACACTGTGCAATACAGGGTCTGATCTCACCCACACTGTGCAATACAGGGTCTGATCTCCCCCATACTGTACAATACAGGGTCTGATCTCCCCCACACTGTAGAATACAGAGTCTGATCTCCCCCATACTGTACAATACAGAGTCTGATCTCTCCCACGCTGTACAATACAGAGTCTGATCTCCCCCACACTGTAGAATACATAGTCTGATCTCCCCCAGTCTGTACAATACAGAGTCTGATCTCCCCCACACTGTGCAATACAGGGTCTGATCTCCCCCACACTGTGCAATACAGAGTCTGATCTCCCCCACACTGTGCAATACAGGGTCTGATTTTCACCACAATGTACAATACAGGGTCTGATCTCCCCCACACCGTACAATACAGAGTCTGATCTCCCCCACACTGTGCAATACAGGGTCTGATCTCACCCACACTGTGCAATACAGCGTCTGATTTCCCCCCCATATTGTACAATACAGGGTCTGATCTCGCCCACACTGTACAATACAGAGTCTGATCTCCCCACACTGTACAATACAGGGTCTGATCTCCCCCACACTGTATAATACAGGGTCTGATCTCCCCCATACTGTACAATACAGAGTCTGATCTCCCCCCACACTGTACAATACAGGGTCTGATCTCCCCCATACTGTACAATACACTGTCTGATCTCTATCACAATACGCAGCCTCCTGCCAAGTTGCCCTGGAATTGCAGAAGTATGGGTGACATATATATTTTCACATCGGCTGGTGCTCTAGGATGTTTTAAATAACCTGAAAGGAGGGCGATTAAGCTTTTATATTGTGATGGCTTGCTGTCTGCCTGGTGAGAGTTGATTCAGTGTGAAAGCAAACAGGAGGAGGCTGTCTATGGACAAATACTACACATACTAATCCGCCTTCTTCTACATGTAAAGCCGGCTCATGGCAGAACGAAGCTTGCTGATATTTTAACTCATTGGATCAGAGGAGACAAGTAATGCCGGAAGGGTTAACAGCCCATTGTTTGGGCAATGTGAGGATAATTTGGGACACGTCATAGAACGTCCACATAAAGACATTGTGGCTGATTTCCTGCCTGAGCAGAAGTGCTGACTCGGAGGTAAATTCATAGCCTCCAGGGGACTTGCCGAGAGATTGTGTGATAAGAAAACATCACGGGTCAGCGGATCACAAAAGCATTATTAAGACGTCATCTTCTGTTATGCCAAATCGGTGTCAGCAGCGACTCAATGACAGCTGTCACCGCTATAGTGTCACAATGAATATCTAATACAATCACTGGCTGAGCTTCACACAATCTCTATACTGCTCCCGTTATTCACATGATCTCTCTACTGCTCCCGTTATTCACACGATCTCTCTACTGCTCCCGTTATTCACACGATCTATCTACTGCTCCCGTTATTCACACGATCTATCTACTGCTCCTGTTATTCACACGATCTCTCTACTGCTCCCGTTATTCACACGATCTATCTACTGCTCCCGTTATTCACACGATCTCTCTACTGCTCCCGTTATTCACACGATCTCTCTACTGCTCCCGTTATTCACACGATCTCTCTACTGCTCCCGTTATTCACACCTATCTCTACTGCTCCCGCGGCTAATCGACATCTCTACTGCCCCGCTATTCACATCTACTTCCATCTTGTACTGCTCCCGTTATTCACACGATCTATCTACTGCTCCCGTTATTCACACGATCTCTCTACTGCTCCCGTTATTCACACGATCTCTATACTGCTCCCATTATTCACACGATCTCTCTACCGCTCCCGTTATTCACACGATCTATCTACTGCTCCCGTTATTCACACGATCTATCTACTGCTCCCGTTATTCACACGATCTCTCTACTGCTCCCGTTATTCACACGATCTCTCTACTGCTCCCGTTATTCACACGATCTCTCTACTGCTCCCCGCGGTCTACACGCATCTCTACTGGTACTCTTCTTTCAAGTATTCACACGATCTATCTACTGCTCCCCGTATTCACTAATGACATCTATCTAATGTTTCCCGCTTGTCTTCGCTACACGATCTCTCTACTGCTCCCGTTATTCACACGATCTCTATACTGCTCCCATTATTCACACGATCTCTCTACCGCTCCCGTTATTCACACGATCTATCTACTGCTCCCGTTATTCACACGATCTATCTACTGCTCCCGTTATTCACACGATCTCTCTACTGCTCCCATTATTCACATGATCTCTCTACTGCTCCCGTTATTCACACGATCTCTCTACTGCTCCCGTTAATCACACGATCTATCTACTGCTCCCATTATTCACATGATCTCTCTACTGCTCCCGTTATTCACACGATCTCTCTACTGCTCCCGTTATTCACACGATCTCTCTACTGCTCCCGTTATTCACACGATCTCTCTACTGCTCCCATTATTTACACGATCTCTCTACTGCTCCCGTTATTCACACGATCTCTCTACTGCTCCCGTTATTCACACGATCTCTCTACTGCTCCCGTTAATCACACGATCTCTCTACTGCTCCCGTTATTCACACGATCTCTCTACTGCTCCCATTATTCACATGATCTCTATACTGCTTTCTATCATCTTTACACATTCACCCCTATCTCTTTCTCTCCATCTCTCTCTATCACTCTCCCTCTCTCTGTCAATCTCTC